ACTGATGCGTCCCCAGCTTATAACAGTAATTCTTGTTATTAATCCCTAAATGCATGACCTTGCACTTTTCACTATTAAATTTCATCCTATTACTATTACTCCAGTTTACAAGGTCATCCAGATCTTCCTGTATGATATTCTGGTCCTTCTCTGTATTGGCAATACCTCCCAGCTTTGTGTCATCCACAAACTTTATTAGCACATTCCCACTTTTTGTGCCAAGGTCAGTAATAAAAAGATTAAATAAGATTGGTCCCAAAACTGATCCCTGAGGAACTCCACTAGTAACCTCCCTCCAACCTGACAGTTCACCTTTCAGTACGACCCATTGTAGTCTCCCCTTTAACCAGTTTCTTATCCACCTTTCAATTTTCATATTGATCCCCATCTTTTCCAATTTAGCTAATAATTCCCCATGTGGAACCGTATCAAATGCCTTACTGAAATCGAGGTAAATTAGATCCACTGCGTTTCCTTTGTCTAAAAAATCTGTTACCTTCTCAAATAAGGAGATCAGGTTGGTTTGGCATGATATACCTTTTGTAAAACTATGCAGTATTTTGTCCAATTACCATTGACCTCAATGTCCTTAACTACTTTCTCCTTCAAAAATTTTTCCAAGACCTTGCATACTACAGATGTCAAACTAACAGGCCTGTAGTTGCCCAGATCACTTTTTTCCCCTTTCTTAAAGATTGGAGAATTGCTAACATAGTTCCTGTCATACGGTACAACCCCTGAGTTTACAGATTCATTAAAAATTCTTGCTAATTGGCTTGCAATTTCATGTGCCAGTTCCTTTAATATTCTTGGATGAAGATTATCTGGGGCCTCCGATTTAGTCCCATTAAGCTGTTCGAGTTTGGCTTCCACCTCGGATGTGGTAATATCTACCTCCATATCCTCATTCCCATTTGTCATCCTACCATTATCCCTAAACTCCTTATTAGCCTCATTAAACCAAGGAGCAGCTTACATGCCAGAGGTTGTGCATGAACAGCCCAGGAGTGGGGGTTCTCACAGCAGAGCAGGGTAAGGCTGGCTCCCAGAGTCAAGGATTGGAGTGACTTAGCAGATCACCAGTCCGGATATCACCAGGGGAACATCACACCCGGACCCAACCCAGAGCCCGCATCCCCACAGCATTCACCCCCTCCTGCTCCCGAACCCCCTGCCCCAGCCCGATGAAAATCAGTCAGTGAGCAAGGATGGGAGAGAGCAAGCGACAGAGGGAGGGAGGATGGAGTGAACGGAGGAGGGGTTTCAGAGGGGGGTGGGGCCTCAGAGCAGGGAGCAGAGCAAGGGTGTTCAGTTTTCTACAATTAGAAAGTTGGCAACCCGAGATGTGGCCCCCTCCCCTGCGGGAGCCGCTCCCTAATGGCTCTAGGTGACAGCTCCCTCCCTGTAGCCACTTCCTAATGGCTCTAACTGATGCGGCCCCCTCGCCCTCAAAATTCCAACCTTTGAACTGTTTACAGTGTCGTGGTCGCCATGCTGGTCCCAGGGTGTTAGAGAGACAAGGTGGGAGACGTAATGTCTCTTACTGGACCAACTTCACACATACAGAATGGGAAGAGACTGTCTAGGAAGGAGTACGGCAGAAAGGGATCTAGGGGTTACAGTGGACCACAAGCTAAATATGAGTCAACAGTGTGATGCTGTTGCAAAAAAAGCAAACATGATTCTTGGATGCATTAACAGGTGTTTTGTGAGCAAGACACGAGAAGTCATTCTTCCGCTCTACTCTGTGCTGGTTAGGCCTCAACTGGATTTCTGAGCACCGCATTTCAAGAAAGATGTGGAGAAATTGGAAAGGGTCCAGAGAAGAGCAACAAGAATGATTAAAGGTCTTGAGAACATGACCTACGAAGGAAGGCTGAAAGAATTGGGTTTGTTTAGTTTGGAAAAGAGAAGACTGAGAAGGGACATGATAGCAGTTTTCAGGTATCTAAAAGGGTGTCATAAGGAGAAGGGAGAAAACTTGTTCACCCTAGCCTCTAAGGATAGAACAAGAAGCAATGGGCTTAAACTGCAGCAAGGGAGGTTTAGGTTGGACATTAGAAAAAGGTTCCTAACTGTCAGGGTGGTTAAACACTGGAATAAATTGCCTAGGGAGGTTGTGGAATCTCCATCTCTGGAGATATTTAAGAGTAGGTTAGATAAAGGTCCATCAGGGATGGTCTAGACAGTATTTGATCCTGCCATGAGGGCAGGGGACTGGACTCGATGACCTCTCAAGGTCCCTTCCAGTCCTAGAATCTATGAATCTATGAAAAAGACAAGTCTTCCAGCTACCCAGAGCCCTTCTTCAGGTCTGGGAAGGGTTCTCATGGCTGGTTTATGCTAGAGAATTAAATTGACCCAGATATGTCGCTCAGGGGCACATAGGCACCAAATTTTGGTTCCCAGGGGGTGCTCCAACCACTCTATACCCCTTCCCCCAAGCCCCTACCGCCTCTGCAACTCTTTCCACCCCTGCTCCTCCCCCTACCCCACCAGTGCCTCCGGCACACCGCAGAACAGCTGATCTTGGTGGGCAGGAGACACTGGGAAGGTGGGGAAGGAGCTGATACACAGGGCTGCCAGTGGGTGCTCAGCACCCACTATTTCTTTTTCATGTGTACTCCAGCCAGGGCCGGCTCCAGGCACCAGCTTGGCAAGCAGGTGCTTGGGGCGGCCACTCCGGAGAGGGGCGGCACATCCAGCTATTCGGCAGCAATTTGGCAGATGGTCCCTCACTCCCGCTCGGAGCGAAGGACCTCCCGCCGAATTGCTGCCGCAGATCGCGATCACAGCTTTTTTTTTTTTTTTTGGGTTGCTTGCAAAAACCCTGGAGCCAGCCTTGGCTCCAGCCCCAGAGCACCCACGGAGTCAGCGCCTATTCAGGGGCATGAAAAATCCACATTCTGACCAATGTAGTTAAGCCATCATAAGGGCTTGTCTACACTGACAGAGCTGCACCAGTGCAGCTGCACAGCTGTAGCGCCTAGTGATGATGCTACCTAGGCTGACAGGACAGGTTCTCTTGTTGGGGTAGGTACTCCACCCAGTCTACAATGCAAAGCCATTGACCTCGACCTAACTATTTAAGTGTCTACAGTGAAATTTTGCTCCTGTTGACATAACTGTCCCTGCTACATCGACTTAATAACTCCACCTCCATGAGAGCTGTAGCGTCAATGTCAATGTAGTTAGGTCAACGCCATATCAATGTAGGTTCTGCATTGATTACATGGACTGTTACTGGTTTTGAGAAGCCATCCCACAATGTTCCACACTGACAGTCCTGGTGAGGATGCACATCGCAGACACAAGGAGCAAAGAGTAGAAATGCACAAGCGATGTAATCACTGAGGTGGCTTTATGCTGACATAAATCAGGTCAACTTAATTTTGTAGTGTAGCCATGCCCTAATGGGTGGTACCTATGTCAATAGGAGATGCCCTCCTGTCAACATAGCGCTACCTGCACCGGGG